GTGTGTTTTAGTAAGAAATAAGCTTTATATTATTTTTAGGAATTCTTAATTTATATTGAAAAAACTGGGTTCCTTTCTACTAAAATCTGTTTAATAAATTGAAGTTAAAATAAAACTGAATTATTGTTCTTATAAATATATAAAATTAGAATAGCATTTGATGGTCTATTTTCTATTTAATTTGAATTTCTTAGTTAAGAATGTTTTAACAGAATTTACTTTTGTTCAAATCACAGAGTAGATTTACAGCAGGAATTATACAAGAACAGGAGTTGATTTACTTACATTTCCACGGTTTGTCTTGACTTATTGACTTAGGGCTAATATAAATGAAACAAAATGAGTAGTTCTTTTCAGGACTTAAAATTTAAACTCTACCTAATTTTATATTGGTGGAAGAAAGAAAGAAAAAAAAAGGCTTCTGCCTGTTTTAATTGCCAACAATTACTAAACACACCATTCAAATATAAGGAGAGAATTTCCATTTACATTGATCAAAGGGAGTAAAAAATTCATTTGTTCATTTAAGGAAGTTTTTTCAAATTTTTAATGGAATCCAGTAGTCATTTAGTCTGTGGCAAGAAAAAAATTGAAAATAAAACGATTTCCGAAATCTGTGTTAGACTTCTGATACAAGATAACGCCATTTATTCCGTTTGCTGTCTGATTTCCGGGGAACTCTTTTCTTACGGGCCTTTAAGCCTAATTTGCTGCTTTTCTCAATCAGAAAGATGTAGATTTTGGTAAAAAAGGAGGTTGAACAAAAGGTATTGAAGAAGGGAGAGAAACTCAAGAAAGTGGAAGAAAAGAAAATTAAGAATTTACCAGCCTTCAAGCAAATTAGAATTTTTCCCTTCTTCCTTCCTTCACTTTTTTCATCTCATTTTCTTTCTCTTTGAAAGAGCCCAAGCACCATGTGTATTGAATGTCATTCTCAACTTAGATTTTCAGATTTTTTTTTTAGTAAAAATGAGAAAAATAATAGAACTATTCTTTCAGTATAATTGAATAATTCAGTGTTTTATGTTGTTATTATAGAAGGATTTTTTTTTATTTTTCAATTATTACAATGATAAAGATCCTCTGATATGAAATAAAATCTATTTAAGGTAGTAAATTCTAATCTTTGTATTAGAGGGTCGAGATGAAAAACACTATTAATAAAACATGTTTTATGGATTTTTAAAGAGAATGTGGAACAGAGTTTGTGTGTAGTTATCATATTTTATTGTATATATTTATATTTAGTATTCATTTATACGTGTACCTATATATATATAAACTGTGTTTCTGTGAATACTTTAAAAATATTTAAAACTAACTAATTGGAATATGCAATAATTTGATACAGCAAAAATTTATTTTTACAGTTGTTATACAATTAAATTTATTTCTTAGGATGATCGTTATTAATTTGAAATTTAAATTGTATGATAACTTTATAAAATAAATGATAATAATAAGAAATTAATATTATAGAGAACCCATTTCAAATTTTTAAAATGATTTTTACAACAACCACACTTTTTTTGAAATATATGTTTTGGAAAATTTAAGACAAATGATATGTATTTCAAAAAAAATTATTATTATTAATTTCAAGATAAATTGCACGTACTTTGTTGCCAGAATTCAGGTCATTCTGTTACAATTGGTTATATATATATATATATTTATATAATTTATGCAATTTTAAAATAAAATTATCTTTTGTATCAAAATAATTTAAACCGTATAGTGTTTAAGAAAGTATTTGGCATTTTACCTGTTAAACATGACACAGATTCATAAAAGTCATTTGAAAACAACTCATTTTTTGGATGTTACAGCTGCTCATAAAATAACTCTTATAGTGGCTCATTGCTTTGTTTATTTGCTTTCATTTCTTATGCACTAATCTGTACAGGTAAAACTTTCTCATTCACGGAACTTTTCTATCTGTTATTTTGATGCTTAATAAACTTATTTTTGTTTATAATATCTTGTAAAAAGAGTAAACGGAGAAGAACAAAGAGATGAAAGAAAATAGATCATAAAATAAGTTTCAATGATAGGACGCAATATTCATACATTAAATTATGATTGATGTATATACTTAAATTGATGAAAGTATATGAAGACAAAAGCGCACTAAGCCAAAACAGAGTTCATACTCATTTGTGTCTGTACAATTTTTTCTTTTCAATTCCTACTCTTAGTTCACTCTCTCCCTATATGTACGAGTATATGTCGCAGGGAAATGAAGGAAATAAAGGATTTCATCTCAAATCACCAAGGGAGATGATCAGGTCACGCAAGATGTTAAAATAAGAACTTTGTAAGGTTATTTCCCTAAGGAAAATAAGTGATTTGATCAAATACCTAACATGCTTCTGTGAAATGATGAGATAATATTGTCCAAAGTTTAAAAGTTTTCATTTAGCAAATATGGTGCGTATTTAAAAGAAAAACAATTAATATTTCAATATTTATTGAATTACAAATTATATTTATTCGAAATTAATTAACAAAATATTTAGATAACAAAGCTGGAATTTTTTTAAAAAGATATATGTAGTAGAATTTCAAACATATTTTTTAAAAAAATATACATCAATGTAGTACTTAAAAATATACATTAATGTAGTATACATTAATGTGTTACTTTGTAACACTTTTTTGTAGTTATTATTTCCCATTTTAAAATAGCTTTTTTACTATCAAAAAGCTTTTTTATCTATGAAGAAGGTGTGGTGATATTTAGCTCATTTTGTTTTGATGCGTCACGTCAAAAGTCTGGCGCATCCTGGAACGGAGGGAGTGGTAACAAGGGAAAACAGAGAGCTCTGCAAATGTTGACTTGTTCATTTCATCATTTCACGAAAACAGTTTGGGGGTTTGATCAAATCACTTACATCAGAGAAATGACCTCAACGAGACGTTATTTTAACATCTTGCTTGAATTGATGAAAGGGATTAGGGATTTGATGAAAGCCCTAATTTCATCATTTTCCTACGACACACGCACACACACACATATATATATAGTGTAAATTCTCTACTAATGAGAGATGAACATTAATCAAACAAAAGCGAGAAAGTTGAGGTTGTAAGAAACAAGATATAGAAGGATATATGAGAAATTAAAATTATAATAGGGTTACAAATATATATATATATATATATATATATATATATATATATATATATATATATATATATATATATATATATGAAAGAAATTTGTATTATATATCAAAAACAAGAAATAATAGATAATGAACATAACAAGAAATAACATAATAAAATATAAAGCTAAACATGAAGATCAAAATTATAGAAAAATAAAAAATGAAACTACAAAAAAGAAGAACCTAGTGTGTCAGAAAGCAATTTCGGATTTAAGACCGAATAAGTGGGGTTAAACTAGTTTGAAGGCGCCAACCTTCCCCCTTTGCAACTCGGTAGGAAAAACCAAATAAAATAAAATAAACAAAAATTCAGAGTATGTAAAAACTCTAGAGAGTATGATAAAACCACTCACTACTATTATGTAACAAACTCTTAATGCAGAAAAAATCGCAAAACAATTACGTAAGAAAAGTAGAAAAAACCTAAAACAATTACATAAGAAAACTATTTTTCAAAAAACAATTTAACAAAATTTCTTTACTCACATAGCTCTTACCAAGAGAATCAAGCGTCTTGACATCAATGAAAATCAATTATTCACCAAGTTAAAACATTCGAATATACATAAACACATCTTTCGATCTAATTTTTAAACCAGCCAGCAAAGACAGATATCAAAAGAGATGACAGTCAAATATGGTAGAATTTGAATAGGTTGATTGTCAAAAATGTAAATTTGCTAGGCTCTAATTTGGTTGGTTGTCAACAATGTGTAAGATGTTCGAGATGTGTGTGGAAAAAATGTAAACTGTGATATGAGTGTTATGATATAATCTTCACAGCAAGACCACTAACATGCTGACTTTGAAATCCTATTGTTATGTGGTGGCTTTGGAATTAGAAGTAGCAAGACGGTTAATGTATTTGTGATGAATATAAGTTCTTAAGAAATTAAAAGGGTATTCGTGATCTAAACAACATTGAAAACGTTTTTTAAATTATTGTATTTATCTATTTTGTGGGTAGTTAAGTTATCATTTCTCAATAAAAAAATTCAAAATGATATTTCTGTAATTTGATATATACAAGTTACTATTCCATACAGGAATTTTAATTATATGGAACTTAAAAGAATCTCTTTTTTCAAAAATGTTACTGACTACATTATTGTCAATAAGATGAAAGTCTAAAACCAAGAATTCTACCATATTGAAGTTAGTTTTAAGGAGCTTGTGTGTGTGTGAGATAATCAGGTTAGAACGTAATATTTGGTTTGTATTCACTATTTTTGCCAAAAATTATAACGATAAATCAAGTAAGAATCATTTACAACATGATCAATTTTAAAAAAAATGTAAATATAGGTTCGCTAAACAATTACTAGCTGGACCACCCTGAGGTAATCCTTTGATCTGTTCATAAAGATTCTGATCAAATGCAATGAAATTTTCTTTTAATACAAGGTTAACAAGAATATCAAATTTTTCTTTTTACATTGAAGTATGTAATTCATATTTATCATAAATCAACAGTAGAATCTTAATCATATCTGTTATATATATATATATATATATATATATATAACAAATAGATGCTACAGTATTATAAACATTGTTCACTTAGGACAGCTTATACCTAAAATAATTTATATAAAAGTGGGGTTATATCTATATATATATATATATATATCTTGTTCAAGTTTTCAGTCGTTTATAAAATAGTTTCTATTCATCCACTCAAGTTAAAATGCATTTTTTTAAACTTGTAGGGGATGAAACTTGATGTTAATAAAGTTTTTTTGAAATATTAATTCATTAAGTAAATTAAAAACAAAAAATAGCTACAAACAGAAAAAATAATCCAACAGCAAATATAATAAGGCAAATCGCGTATTTAGTAGCGCAACGGATAGCGCGTTGGAATTCTAGTCCAAAGCTTGTGGGTTCAAACCCTAACTGGAATGCCCTAATTTCTGATAATATGGTTTATGAATAAACAAATTTTAACAAACACAGAATTAATAGTCCAACAACATTTATATTTTTCTTTGTTGACCTAAGTAGAAATTTACTTTAATATTTTTTGTATTAATTGTTGTCTTTTCAAACTAAAAAGGAAATTTAAAATTCTTCATATGATAGCTAGTATATATTTTTCAACAAAAATGCCACGTATTTACAGCATCCTTAAGCAGCTGAGTTTAATTTTTCTTCCTGATAATGGCTTAAAATGTACTTAAGAATTTGATTTTCATTAATTAGAAATTTTAAATAACTCCTTATTGAAATTAACTTGTTTCATATTGTTCCCAGATAGAGACATCTTAGTTTACATATTATGCACTTCAATGATTTATGGCTACATTATAGCATTATTTGTGTCCGTATCGGAACGCTATGTTTGATACAAAAATTTAATTTTTTGAATAAACCCACGTTCTTATTTATATCTGCATTACCCTTTATTACAATTTATATTTGTTATATTACATGTTAAATATATTTTTTGCAGATTTAATAGTAATTTTAGTGCTTTAATGTATTGTATTTATAATGTTCTGTATCAGAATAAAACTTAACAGATTATTTCTGAAGGTAGTCATTAAAACATAAGACTCATTGTCGCTGTTGTTGTGTCCTTCCCCGAGGGAAGGAATGAAAGTTGCCAGAGCCTGAGACAGGTTGGACGATAGATGGCGACACCACCTATCACAACCTCTACAATTTAGGCATAGAACTGGAGGAGAGGGAAATATTCTCCAGTTTCCTGCACCCGTGGTTTCTGCTGCGACCTCCCACAAGATTTTCGGACCCACTGATTTAACAAGCACGTACTCCTGGTGTACTCAGAGGGTTTTTGGTGGTTTCGGGCATCGAATCCAGGACCTCCGGTCTGGAATTCGATGCTCTAACCACTAGCCTACCCTCGGATCTATAAGTTCATTACTCACAGGGATTAAAGCATTTGTTATTTCTTAATTTTAGATTTATATAATCTTAAAATAAGTTAATTCGATTTAATATTTAATTAAGTGCTTCTTAACACTATTTAATTCAACAAATACAAACATTTTGAATAATGTCATTAATGGGAACTACAATTGACTAATTTCCCAGAAGGACAAGACATTTAATATATTTAATGTTGAAGTCACATAGGACAGAATTATTAATCATTCATTGTTCAATATTTTCAAAACCTTTTGTAAAGTGAAAAAGGGCGAAGAATTCAAAACTTCTCTATTTCAAAGCCCTTTGTATAATAATACTTCGTGTTAAAATATATTGCATGTGTGAGGCGTTTCCATATTTATTTTCAAACATAGAGAATATTTACACATGTATTCAATTCTAAAATCCAATTCATTCTTCATACATAAAAATTAAATGCTGAAAATCTTAGTATCTGGAAGAATTGTACAAATATGATTATTGTTAAGTTTCAAGGATTTTAAATCGTGAGACATCACGTAATATGTGTAGAAATATGTGAGTAAATCTGAACTGGAATGAGAAATATGCTTTCGTTCAAAAGAAGATTATTCATTTTCTGTCGGATATTTTTCTACGGAATATATTCTGAAGATATTTGTACAGAGTGATTTAAAATTAAATGGAATTGTACATTTTCTTTATTAAAAATAAATTTTTCGGCATGATAATTCAGACAAATTCATCATTATATACAACACCAGCGTTTCCCAAACTATGGGTGCTCCTCTCTAGGGGTAGTGATAAATTTACCAGGAGGACCATATTAAAAAGTCGAAAGCAAAATATTCTTTTAAAATATATACAGTGGGCAACAAAAGTGTTCGTACACTTGTAATTTTCTATAAAATTTAATCTTTCCTATTGATAAAAATTAATATTTTGGAATTGTAATTTTTTTATGATATTTGCAACTTGTTCTTAATGGAACGACATATTTTTTTAAATAATAGTGTAACTATTGTTTTTAAAAATTAATAATCTAAAAGCTACTAAAAAATTACGCCACAAAAGTCTTCGTACACTTTACAAAAATCTCCATATAGCTTTAAATATTGTATTTTTTTCTTAATTTAGTTCTTATTAGGATATCTTTTAGCATCTACCACAACTTTTAAGTGTCTTAGTTTAGATTTAATCAGTTTTTTTTTTGTAATTTCTGCATCGAATTTCCTCCATGCTTCTGTGACTACTGTTTTTACTTCCCATTATGTGTTTATATGTCATGTTTTCTTTTTTAAAAAATCAAATTCTCCACAAATATGTTCTACAGGGCTAAATAAAGTGATTAAGGAGGTGTTTTCAGAATTTGGGACAGTTATAGAGACACCAACGGCGTACGTTGAGAGCAGTGTTTTTGTCGTCATTATCCTGTTAAAAAATGAAGTCATCTCCGATAACCAAATGCTGGACGTGTTATTTAAAATTTCCTTTTAAGATATTTAAATAGAGCTCATGATTCTCAATGCAATCAAAAAATATCAAATTAGCTAATTCTGAGGTCGATTTACATCCCCACGCAAGAACTCCTCTACCTCCATACTTCAGCATGGAGTTGGAGTTCTTGTTCCACATTAATTCATGGGAAAAAATTCATTTTATCAATTACAAACTATTATGCGCCCATCTAAAACAAAAATGTTGAATTTTCTGTCATTCCAATCAATTTGCTGTCAATTTTGAATTTTCTGAAACTTAATCCCAAGAATCTAGTTGGGTCAATGAACCATGGAGTTGGAAGTGTTTCTGCATGGGGTTGTAAATCGTCTTCAGAAATAAATAATTTGTAATTTTTTATGGTATTATGGAGTCTGAGTTCTATTTAATTATTTCTAAGAGAAATTTTAAATTATCCGCCTGATATTGAAGATGATTTCATTTTTTCACAGGATAATGACGCCAAGCACACTGCTCTCAATGTACGCCACTGGTGTCTCTATAACTGTCCCAAATTCAGAAAACACATACTCAATCACTTTATTTAGTACTGTAGAATATATTTGTGGTGAGAATCAGATTTTTTTAAAAACGAAAACATGACATATAAACACATAATGGGAAGTAAAAATAGTAGTCAGAGAAGCTTGGAGGAAAATCAATGCAGAAATTACAAAAAACTGATTAAATCTATACCAAGATGTTTAAAATTTGTTATAGATACTAAAAGATGTCCTATTAAGAACTAAATTAAGAAAAAATACAATATTTAAAGCTATATGGAGATTTTTGTAAAGTGTATGAGGACTTTTTTTGCGTAATTTTTAAGTAGATTTTTGATTATTAATTTTTAAAAATAACAGTTATACTATTTTAAAAAAAAAATAGTTTTGTCATTCCATTAAAAACAAGTTGCAGATATCATAAAAAATTACAATTCCGAAATATTAATTTTTATTATTTGAAAACATTAAATTTTATAGGAAATTGCAAGTGTACTAACGCTTATATGGCCCACTGTATATATATATATATATATATATATATATATATATATATATATATATATATAAAAGAAATATGTATTATATATATATATATATATATATATATATATATATATATAAAAGAAATATGTATTATATATATATATATATATTAATTTACTGAAAGTAAACAAGCAAAATACACATATACACTGATCTGATACACTTATAAATGCATCAGTACGATTAATTCAACAATACTAAGTTAAGAACCTTAATAATTACCAATGATCCCCTGGGTTTGTCATATATAAAGTTGTATTTAACACTTATCTTGATAATTTGTACGGTTTATAATTAATCTCTTAACTGGCAATTAAAAGTTACGTGATTCGCTCTCAAATGACACCGTTTTCCAAGTAGGTTCGCGTATGTGATATATTGAAGGGAGTGCCCACACACAGAGAAAAAGAATAAATAAGTAAATCTTCTAAAATAAGAGTAAATCTTTCGCAAACACTGTTAAGGTCCTTTAATTACATTCCAAAGCCTTTGGAATATTTTTATGGCTAGCAGTTCGGAGAAAACATCGTACTTCGGAAACACATATTGTTGAGACCCCCCCTGGGTCTCACCTTGAACACCAAGATTAATTTGAGGCAAAGAGTAATTTTGAATAATAATAATATTTATTTATTATTAAAATTTTCTCAAAAAAAAACTCTGATAAAATATAATACTATATTATGTTACGTCACTTAAAGGGATTTCCTTTTATATTAAATTAAATTACTAATAATGCAATTAATTAATAATCAAGCTCAAGATCAAGTAAGATCTACAGAAATAGGAGATCCGAGAAATACACGTACTCGAATTCTTAACTTTCATTAACTTTAACTAAGTCGCTTAAACTGACGCTTATTTTAAGCGTACGTAAATTATATTTACCGCTGGCTTATATCAGCTTTCTGGTACGTCTAGCAACACGACATCTTCACGAATCTAATCTCCTTGAATCTTCTAAAAATGCCTTTAAAGTTGCTGGCTCAATAGCCTTCTATCATCTTCCTTGCTGTCTCACAACTCTCGACTTAAATACCTTATCTAATTTTAATATCCAGTTCATCTTTTTGGAGTTGATTGGAAATAAACGCAAATTTATATTCCCCAAAAAGACGCCTAAGAATATTAGTGCAAAGTTTCCGTACAGATTCGTCACAATCCCCTCCAAAAAGAAGACGGGATTTATTCGAAGGTCACAAATGGCCTGAAAATAAATTACGTAACCAATTCCAAGACTTGATTTATAGTCCCGACGACTTTAATATATATATCTACCAATCGGATACTATATACATTCTCCTTCCTTAATGGAAAGAAAAAAAGTTACGACCTAAAACTACACTTTAAAGGACGTAACATTTACAGAATTAAATTTCCCTACACCACGCCCATTGGCTACGAGGCGAGGGAAAAACCACCGAAATGGTAAAAAACCTGCCTGCGTGGTTTACTTAACTACTTATATGACAACTTATATATTATAC